CCACCACCATACCGGAATCCAACTCCGGAGCTTGCGCTTGCCAGGCAGGCATGGCATCACTGAGCAACATCCCCGGCTCCATGTCCTCAGACTTCTTGACATTCCCCCCTCCCACCCCAGAGCTCTGCAATGTCCAGGCTGCCTTTTTCTATCCTCAAAGACTTTTCATATCTGGGTGCCTGGGTCCTGCATCCTAGGAGCCTGATGCCCAAGATCTGGTGGTAGGTATCTATGTACATTTTTACATTTTTTTGTATGTAAAAATCAAATTTTATTTTTAAAAAGTAATACATATGTGTGGTTTAAAAATTCAAACTTTGTTTACTTATTTTTGATGCTCGGATTGAACCCAGGGCTTTGTGTGTACTAGGCAAGTACTCTGCCACTGAGCTGTACCCTCTGCCCAAAATTCAAGGTTTGAAAAAAAAGGTGCCCAATAAAAAATTAGTGTCTCTCTCACCTGGACACCTGCGACCAATTGATATTTCTTTCCACGAGTTCTCTGCTACACAGGCGACTATGTCAGCAACATCCCATTTTATTACACAAGCAGTGGTAACCCCTGTATATGTTATTCTGTCCTTGTCTTTATTACAAAGTCTGTCTGTTGTAGCTTGCTCTCTGTAGGCACACATAAGTTCATGGTCTCATTTTTTCATGAGCATGTGGCTTTCCATTGATAGACCATCACTTGTTTGTCAAGTCCTCTTACCAGGGAAACAGTACTGCAGTGAACGCCTTCTTCACATGTCTGCATGCATGTTTGCATGTGTGGCCGCAAGAGCCCTTCCAGCAAGTGAAAATGCTGTTTCTGAGAGTCTGCGCTCTTAAAAATCTTGTCGGATATTTTTGAATTGCCTTCTTTTCTATTCTGATCATGTATATATTTTTTAAAACATCCCACATGTACCCCCCCCCCGATTTAGTTTCATTAACTTGAGTGAGAAATCACTATTGTAATCCAACCCACGGTTGTACAGATGGAGCAAGGTCCAGAGAGGGAAGGAGTTGGCCAGTGTCATTCCTTTCTCTACCTAGTAAGAAGCAGGTGGAAAGAAGTAAGCCATGAAGAAAGAAATGGGCTGGAACAGTTCCAGGAGTGAAGCTCACATTGGGGGTGAGGGGATTATGTTCTGGGTTGCTGGGGATGTATCTGGGACTTGGACTTCAGGGAAAGGCCTTCCCCTCCATCATGAACTTGTGTGGAGTGTGCTGCACCTGCTTGGCAGCAGCTGGGCCAAGCCAGTGAGTGAGCTCACTCAGTATTTACTGAGCTTCTGCATTCCTGTGCTGGCTTGGTCACTGTGTCCCTCCATCTCTGTCCCTCAGTTTTTCTTATCTGAATGGTCAGGAGGCTCATACCTGCCTTTCTTATGTCCCTGGGCTATTGGGAAGGTTTGGTAAACCAGCCAGTGGAAATATAGTAAAACTGATTACAGTGGTTCCAGCTGGATATATATGGGCACCCTGGTCAGCAGAGGGTCTGCAATTTGGTCTTGTCCTGCGTGAGCTGCTGTCAATCTTAGATGGCCTGATGAGATCTCAGGCTAGGAATTTCAGTGCAGCTGTTGGTGGGTACCTCCTGTCGATGTGCCCAGGCGTGGTTAGGATCATGCTTAGTAGCTTCCTGAATTTGCTCTGCCTCAGGTTGCTGGGACTTCCAAGACCTGGCAGTATAAAAGAGCTCAAGGGCAGATGGGGGAGAAGCAGTCTGGGAGACCAGGAAGGTGTCTACCCTGCCGCCAGTTTTGCCTCCTTCCACGGGCCAACAGTACCGTCCCTTGGGTTAAGGGATGGGTCACTTTTGCAGCTTCTTTTCATCCCAGTGGCAAGGTGACCCGTTTGAGGAAGAGGAAATCTGGTATTTAAGTCACTAGTGTGTAGTTCAGTGGGAAAACTGTGAGGTATGGGCCTCCTCCCAAGTTTCCCAGTGAGCCTGCACTCTTTGGGATTAGAAAGCAGCGTTCAGCTCTCACAGTTCTTAGCACTCACTGCCTTCCCCACATTGTCCCAGGGTTTAGTGCTTTAGTTTCACTTTGTGGTTAAAAACCAAAGTAAAGAAAACGGCAAAGCAGGAAGCAGCTACTTCAGACCCAGTTCAGGATTGGGGGATGTTGCGGGGCCCAAGCTAAACAGGCCTCTTCCTTACCCACTTCTACCCTTGTTCTGGAGGCCTTGCTGGGCTGGGTGGGGCCCTATGGAGAGGTACCAGGCTGCAGATTGGTAGTGGTGTCCTGGCCAGGCCATCTGGGAGCAGGCCAGTAGGGCAGGTTCCCTGGGTGAAATCAGCTTCTCCTGGGTGTGGTCCAGCCCTGGGCCCCAGTTCGGGAGCTATTGCCTTTTAAACTCCTGTTCTTCCAGGGCGAGGCAGGGCTGAGCTTGGCTGGGCTTGACTTAGGAAAGAAACCCTGGCCTATTGAATCCACCCTTCTAAGAGCAGTTCACTCTCCCTGAAGGTAAGTGTGAGCACCCATCTCCACTGTGAAAACTTTTTGGCCTTGGGTCACCACCCCAAGGCACCTACCCCAACCCATAGCAGTTTCTTCTCAGGACCTAGCCAGACTCAAAGCCTTTTTGCCCTGGTCCCATTCCCAGTCTCAGGGTCTTGGAGAGAACAAGAGATAGTAGAGCAGAAACCCTAGCTTCTCATGTCTGTGTCCCTGAGTTGATAGGTGGCTTCAAGCAGGATCTTCCCTGCTCTGGCCTTCAGAGTTCCCATTAATTTTTTGGTGGAGCACAATTCTTTCCAGCTCTGCTCCTCAGTTGAGAATCTCACAACACTGACTTTGGTCTGGGGTCAGCTTTTGTATTTCAAAGATTAGTTGTTATCTAAGCCAGGGTCTTTTTTTTGTTTTGTTTTGGTACCAGGGATCAAACTCGGGTCCTTGCACTTGCAAGGCAGGCAGCAGAACCACTGAGCTAAATCTCTGGCTCTGTGTACTTTTTTCTAAGAAAATGCTCAGACTGGCTAAAATAGGTAGGGAATCAATTTGGTTACTTCAACAAGTAAGATTTTTATGTACTTTTCTTTCTGTACACAATCACAAGGTCCCTAAGCACAAACCTGGTGTCTACTCCCTGAGGTACCTAATGAGCACATAGTAGGTGATCAGGAAGCCCTTTGGTTTTTTTGTTTGTTTGTTTGTTTGTTTTGGTACTGGAGATGGAACTTGGGACCTTGTACTTTCGAGGCAGGCGGCAGAACCACTGAACTAAATCCCCAGCCCGAGGAAGCCCTTTGTTGAAAGGCTGAATTGATAATTCACCCTGACTATGTTGTTCTCTTGGCCTGCAGAAAGGTGGCATTTTATTAAGCCCACTTGGATACAGCTGAGTCAGGCCCAGTAAGGAGAAGCCCATATCCCAAAAGTCATGTGGACCCTTAGTTAAGAACATAGCTCTAGGATCAGACTGATGGGGTTTAGATCCTGGCCTGTCACTCAGAGCCGGTGAGCCTTTGCAAGGTGCTTAACCTCTTGTCTCATTTTCCTCACTTGCAAACAGTGATGACAGTAACTGCTTGACTGTAATCTCAGCCTGAGGACAAGAGGAAGGTGTGTAAAGTAGGAAGCACAGTGCCTGGTATGAAGGAGGCAACCCTGGTATGAAAGAGTGCTGCTGTCACTGACATCCAGAGTGAAAGAAGACTTAACATAGCTGGAGTGCCTTGTACCCCACCTGGAAAGATGGGCTGGGTGGGCCAGGTGGAAGGTTCTGATGGGGAATATATAGTGACAAATGAGTGTACTGTGAATAGATTTGATAGCTTCAGACTTTGCTGAAACTTTCTTGCCATCCCAAGCTTCCCACGCTTCATGACGTGGCTGTTACCCTGCATGTGGGTGTGGTAGCCGTCAGGAGGTGTCTGCTGCCTATGGCAGGTACAGACTAGGGTGGAAGGTGCTTGTCTATGCCCAGTAGAGGTATGGCTGGCACCACTGCTGCTGCTTCAGCAGCCTCTTCAAAGAGGGCATATGACAGTGCCTGGGAACAGCCTATGAGAGGATTGGGGTTCCTCAGACCCGGGTTCTCCCTCTCCCCCATCTTACCTCCACTTCTCTTACCAAACAGTCAGCCGACCTTGTACCTGTAGTGCCAGGGGCCATGCTGGGAGCCAGGGAGAGAGCAGGAAACACAACTGATCCATCCAGCTTGGAGTCTGAATGAACTAGGTAGCAAATAAGATATTATCTGATTGCAATAAGAGTCTTAGGAAAACAAGTAGGTTCTTCAAGGGACCTCATCAGAGAAGCTGGGGAGAAAACCTCGGGGAAGGTGACTTTTGAGGATTGACAGGGGCCAGTTAGGCCCCTGAGGTACCTGAGGTGAGAAACAGCAAGTCCCTGAGGTGAAAATGTTTGTATACTGCAGAAACAAGGAGAGGTACTGGTTACATCTGAATGGGTTAGCTCAGTGGTTCTGCCGCCTGCCTTGAAGGTCCCGAGTTGAATCCCCAGTACAAAAAAAAAAAAAAAAAAATCTGAATGAGTCAGTAAGCCCAGTTAGGTCTGAGGCAGATAGGCTCACCTGTGGGAGCCAAGTGCACTGCTGTGATAGGAGGTTGATAGTAACAGGGCATGGTGGTGCACACCCGTAATTCTAGCATTCTGGGAGGCTGAGGCAGGATAGCAAATTTAGTTTATGCTTGGAGAATTTAGACCCTGTGTATAAATAAGCTGGGTCTGGAGCTCAGTGTGAAGGCCCTGGGTTCAATCCCCAGTAGCACCATCCCCCAAAAGAAAAGATGTGATACTGAAATTCTGCAAGTGATTTTATTTTACAATTAATATCAGTACTTCCAAATACTGATTACTGGTTTTTGTATGCTCATAAGTCATTAGGTAGAGGTTTCTTGAGTATTTTCTACTTATTGCTCTATTTCTTTTTACATACTTTGCAGTTCATAGAGCCCCGTTGCTGAGGGAGGCATGTTGCATTTATTGCTTTTTTCAGAGATGATAAAACAGAAGTAGGGCCAGGGATTTAGTTCAGGGATTCTACTGCCTGCCTCGAAAGCGCAAGGTCCTGACCAAGTTCAATCCCCGGTACCAACAACAACAACAAAGAGAAGTAAACTGACTTGCCCAAGGTCACCCAGCTACACAGCTTATTGAAGATTTGAAATTCTGGTTCACTGTTCTTTCTGTTCTACCACATTGCCTGTGTTTAAGAAGAGTAAAGCAGCTGGGTGTGGTGGTGCACGCCTATGATCCCAGCACTCCGGAGGCTGAGGCAGGAGGATTGCTGTGAGTTAGAGGCCAGCCTGGGCTACATAGTTCAGGGCCAGCCTGAACTACAAAAGGAGACCCTGCCTCAAAAAACCAAAAAAAAAAAGAGCAAAGCAGAAGTTACTATTTTTTCTTAGAAAGGTTACCATTCCAAAATGATTGCCATTAAAACTTTTTGCCATTAGGGCAATAAGATTAAAATGACTTTTCTGTTTTGTATATCATAAATAAGTTTATAATACATTCCTTTCCTTTTATTTTGAAGTTTTAGGGTATTTTAGTAAAATACACATAATAAAATTTACCACTTAAGATTACAGGTCAGTGGCATTAAGTATATTCTCATTGTTTAGCAACCATCACCATCTTATCTCTAGAACTTTACATCATCCCAGAAGAATCTGTACACAGTAAACACTAACTCCCCATTCCCCACTCCTCTAGCCCCTGAAAGCTCTGTGAATTTGATTACTCTGGGTACCTTATTCACTAGCCCACCTTAAGAATGTTTTGTGTGTTTTTTTTTGATACCAGGGATCGAACTCGGGTCCTTGCACTTGCACAGCAGGCGGAGAAACCACTGAGCTAAATCCCCAGCCCAAGAATGTATTTTTAAAAGTCAGTAGGTGGAGGTCTCTGAATAATGGACTCTTATACTGATTAATTTTCCAGGTTAATGCACAGTGCAAAGCTAAGCCTATTCCAGCAGAGCTGTTAAAGGACTGACTCCTGAGTGGGCCTCCTATACAGAGGCAGCCTTGTCTGCAAAGTGCACTGTGGCTGTGAGGAGACTGGTTATAGCCCCTCTGTGGAAGCAGGAACTAGGTTGAGGAGGACCATGGATTTAACCATATGCCCAGTATAATTCCTCCATTAGCCACTAACTTGCTGTAGTGCCACTCAGTACTTACTTGCAAGCCCTTCTACCTCTCTCAGTCTCAGCTTCCCCTCTGGGAAATGGAACAATACTTTCTAGAGTCAGTGAGACAGATAATAAACTTCTTTTGCAACCTTGAGAATCCTAGGTCAGTGTTCCGATATGGTTAAATGCAAGGAAGCTAGAGCTCCTAATTGTCATTTAATAGAAGTAGAAACTCAGAAGGTGATTTTCCCGAGGTCACACAGAGGTTAACTAGCAAAATTGAAACCCAGCCACTCTCTCTCCAAGTTGCAGTTCTTTGAAGGTCCTTGTCGGTTAGTCTTTCCAAAGATGGTGGACTTGGGGGAGCACTTGGTTGCTTTACCATCTTACTAGATTTAAGACATTGTTTGAGAAGCTCCAGTGTTGACAAGCCTACAGGAGAGAATGGGGACAGGGGTAAAGGTTAGGTAGGGAAACACGAATGATGATTCTGTAAGAATAGAGTCCTGGGCTGGGGATTTAGCTCAGTGGCACCATGCCTGCCAGTCCCAAGCCAGGTGTGGTGGCGCAGGTTTGTAATCCCCACCACCCAGGAGGCCGAGCCAGGATTGCCTTGAGTTCAAGGCTAGCCTGAATTACATAGTGAGACCTCATCTTAAACAAAAGCTATAGAGTCCTGAAGTATTTCCATGGTGATCATCTTCCTCAGGGACAGCAGATACCTTGTGGTAACTCTATATGGCACCCATGGCAGACAGCATCAATCACAGCACTCCCATTCAGCCTTCTTAACATAGGCAGGCAGTACCAATCAACCAGAAGTAGCATGCCCAGTGGAATCTATTCCATCCCCAACCTAGTGCAGTCCCCCATTTTTACAGGTGGGTGGCAGCCCTAGAGGGAAAGGGACTGTTCAAGAGTGTAGTGATGTCATAGTTCTCTTCGTAAGTGTAGAAAAGGGTATGTCAGGACAGCCTGATGCCTGAGCAAGTGTGTTGGCGAAAACATCAGGGCAGAGTACCTCCTAGAGAGGTAGAAGTTGTTAAGGTAAAGTCTGCTTTGTATGCTCCTTGAGATGCTGGCTTAGGGTCAGGGTCTTTGTGAAAGTGCACTATAGTCACATTTTACTTGCCAGAGGCAAGCAAACTTGTCTTTCAGCAACACCTGCTAAGGTCTGTAAGAATGTGTGTCAGTCTTGCTAACACAACCTGATATTTTTACTACTTGGAGACAGGGTGCCATGGAGGCTGGGTTTTGGAGGTTGAAACCTCTAAGACTTGCACTCAACATATAGTGATGGTGAACCTTTTGAGTTTTCAGTGATACAGCCCACTGCAGCATATGTGCCATAGGTTTGCCACCACTGAGTTAGAACAGGACTTGCTGTGTGACACTGAGCAAATCCCCTACTTCTCTCAGCCTCCATTTTTCTTAGGGAGATGGTAAAAAATCTCCATGTGAAGATCAAATATACGATGCAGTATAAGGACCTTGGACAGTGAGTGGGCTATTGTAGTAGCCACCAGTTCCTGGCACATGACAGACATCTTGTAACTATGAGCATTAGCTACTAAGATTCAGCCAGTTCTTAGAGTGTGGCTAATACTGTGCTATTGTGGGGGCAGGGCTCTGTGAACAGGATGGGGTGGTTAGTGATCTTTAAGGAGATCTTCCCTGATTCACATGCTATACTTGCAGAGGGAAAGGGACTGTTCAGGAGTGTAGTGATGTCATTGTTCTCTTTCTGAGAGTAGAAAATGGTATGTCAAGACAGCCTGGTACCTAAGAAAGTGTGGGGGATGCAAGTAGTCAATTGAAATCAGGGCCTCATGCTTGCCAGGCAGGCACTGTGCCACTGAGCTACATCCCTGGTGATCCCGTACCTCTTCCACTGTTGTGTATATATGGTGTGTCTCAGGGACTTCCAGAACAACCTGATATAGGGTCCTACCTCAAAAGCATCAGCAGGCCTTTATCAGGGCAGCTCTTCTCAGCCATAGAGGGGGTCAGGGATGCAAACCACTCAGTGACTTCAGGAGGCTTGGCCTAAAGGCAGAAATGGAAAGTAAATAGGCTTATAAAACTGGTGGGCAATGTGTAAACATGTTTTACTGACCTGGTGAGGAGCCAGTGCAAGACCCGGGGATACTATGCAGAAAGGCTTTTTGGAAGAGCAATGCTGGAACCTAGACCTAAAGGAGAAGGCAGAATTAGTGAAGAAGAAGAAGAAGGGTGATTCAGACAGTGGTAGGCTGTGCTGAGGCCTGGAGGCTACAAACATAGTGTGTTGGCATGAAGAGGACGGTGAGAGAAGTTGGAAGGATGCTTGGCAAGACGAGGTCAGTGGTCCCTACAATAAAGTATGAAGATGGTGCTGGTACTAGCATGGTGTAGAGGGGTGGGTACCTGTGCATGCCTAGACAAGGTATGGGACCTTCTTCAACACAGCCCCTTGGAGAATATGACTCTTCACCTCTGCCCCAGGCCAAAAATCCCTGGCCTCTGGCCTGCAGAGACCCTAGAGAGCCTAGGATTGGGCAGCAGGTATGTAGGCTCCTTGCTTGGGAGATATGTGGGCACCTCAAGTTATGGTAGTGACAGTTTCTCACCTGCCAAGTCCCTTCCTACCTGTCTTCCCAGGAGACTTGCCTAGCAGCCCCAGGGCAGTGGACAGGGCAAGCCAGTATGACTCTCACTTTAGAGATGAAAGGCACTGAAGCCCAGGAAGTCTTGTCATACAGTGAGTGCGTGCTGGAACTAGGGAGTGTCTATAACTCATAACCAGTTATAGGGATAGGGGAACAGTAAGTGTCAGCTGATATCAGCTGATAAGGGCCCTAGTGTAGCTGAACTTCCCAGATGAAGTTGTGGAAGCCCTGACTTTGCTGTCTGAGCTCTAGTGCTTGTCCTGTGTGTCCAGGCTGTGTGACTATTTCTCCTGTTCTTTTCTGCTTATTGATAGTATTTCTCCAGAGGCAAAAACAAGTTTGAACTGTGACTGTCACACCCACAAAGATGACATCTGATGTCACATCCAGAACTGGACATGATGTAGGAGGGCGAAGAGTATCTCAGGCCTAGAAGGAATTTGGAAGGTCACACCCATGAGAGGTTGAGTCTCTTCCAGTATCCACTGTGCCTGTGTCTAGCCTGACTGGCCATTTTCTAGTCCCCTCTCCCACCTTTGGCCATCTGTGCTTCTTAAAGCTACTCTTGATAATGTGGCAGGATCTTCTCCTCCGTAACACTCACTTTCCCTTCCCCACTCTGGGGCCACATGCATGTGACAGTCTTCTAGGTATTTGACGACAATAGCCACACTTTTCTGAACTGTCTTCTCATCCATCCCAGTCTTTCTGAGCTACCTCTTCCATTACGCTAGGCACAACTTAATGATATATACCTCTGTCACCTCATTTGTGACAAGTCTATCACAGATATCCTGGTCACTCTTGTTGAATCAGTTCCAGGCTTTCTCAATCAGCTCCGTGTGGCTGCCTGCCATGGTATCCAGTCAACAGAGGAGGTATATCATTGTCATCCTGCACCTTACTGTGAGCTTTTTTTTTAGGACAGATTTCCAGCCCGGCATGATAGTCTCACTACAAATAAATGATTGCTGTATGGGATGGGATGGATTTGAGGCATCTCTCTGTGGATTATCCCCTTCTTTTTCTGTTTTCTTTTTTTTCTTTTGGTTATTGTTGTTTTGAGACAGGGTCTCATTATGTAGCACAGGCTGGCCTTGAACTCACAGCTATCCTCCTGCCTCTGCTTCACAGGTGCTGGGATTACAGGTACGCACCACCATGCCCAGCTATCCCCTTCTCATCAGGCTCCAGTCTGACCACATCCCTTGCCCTGGAATCACCCACAGCACCACAATATTATCTGAAGTTCAAGGGGGACAGGACCAGGGATTTAGCTCAGTGCTGCCACTGCCTGTCTCGAAAGCTCAAGGTCCCGGTACCAAAAAAAATAAAAAAGTTCAGTGGGGACAGCCCCTCCCTGTCCCCGTGCTTGCCTTCACCTGTGCAGTATCTGAGATGTCTGGTCAGCCAGGGTCACTAAGGTATTTTTCCACAGTTGTCTTACATGGATTCCCAAATCTAGGATCTTGGTGTATGCTCTGAGGCAGAGTCCATTCCCTTCCTGTATCTTTGTCCCCTGGGCCTTTGTGCCACAGAGGCCAGTAGCATTGCCTGTGCTGACCTGAGCTGAACTTAACGGTTTTCCCCGTTCATTTCTGCGCTGCTCCTTTCATCCTATCTCTTGGCTGCTCAGGGTTCTTGGCTCCTGCATCTGTCACCCAGTATAGCACCTGTCACTCCAGACACAGTGAATGAGACTATTAACAACGTCTTTCTATTCTGGGTTCACTTGGTCATTCAGAATGATGAAAGAGACCAGCTATCAAAGTGCGCCAGGTCTGTAGTGTCTGGCTTTGACTGGACATGGAGCCTGTGATAGCTTATGAAAAGCTTGGCTTTTGTGACCTGTTACTAGAGTTTGAGGTCAGCCCTCTAGAAATGAGGGTAGTTTTTTGAGTCTCTTTTAAAGTAGTGCTTCCCATGCTAGGCTCCTGGGGGCCTCGGGCTTTGGATATGTAGCAGCAAGGCTGACATGCTGGGGCCAGTATTTGAAAAGCTGCATCATGCATTCTCCACTCCCCAGTTCCTCACAAGGCCAGGTGGGCTATATGTGTCCAGCTGGGCTGGAGCCATGGCAGTTCTGTAAATCTGACCATCTTATCAGTACCCTCTACTAGTGGTCATAGCATTGATACACAGTGAGAAAGTCATCATTGGGAGCTGGTTTGATTCCAAGCTTGGGCTACTGGAAGTGAGAGTAATAAGGTATCCTGGGGAATAGAGCAGATGGTGCAGGTGGGTCTCTGAGGATATCTAAGATTTTTATGGCAGATTCCAGCACAGAATGGGTGAGGGGTCAATGTGGCCCCATGTGTTGCTTACTGGACACATTTGAAATATTGTGAGGTTCCTGATCTGGGGCTAGAGGAAGTGGGATTCAACTACAGATTGGTGCTTCCCTTGAATGCCTGGAGCTGGTAGTTTCCAGGCTGGGGAACCTGGAAGCTTAATCTGGGGGGATCAGAGAACACCCCATCCTCAGAGCCTGGATAGAGTTGCTGCTCTGCTGCCTGAGTGCATGTGCCTTTCTGATTCTTGGTTCCCTTGTGTACTGAGAGGCTGAATTTGTTTAATGTACCTCAAAATACCATGTGGAGATTTTTTTTTTTTTTGAGACAGGGTCTCACTGTGCATTTCAGGGTGGCCTTGAACTTACTATATACCCCAGGCTGGCCTCGAACTCACAGCAATCCTCCTGCCTCAGCCTCCTGAGTGCTGGGATTACAGGAGTAAGCCACCAAGCCCAGCTCTATGTGGAGATTTGTATGTTGAGAGAAAGGAAAATGGAACTGCTTCAAAGATTTGGAATAGGTGGGAGTTCACAGAGCCTTCCCTAGGCCTCCTTGGAGATCCCCAGAACCTGGTTTGAAAAATCATTGGAATTACTATACTATCTGCTAGGGCTCCTCAAGTCCTAGAATTTAGAGGGCCACATCCTTTTTCCAGACTCAACATCCCATCAACCAGCTGGGTGGCCTGGCCCAAGTGGCCTCACCTAACTTTTAGGCTTTACAGGCTGTGGCAAGATTCAGCCAAGCTGGAGTAGTCCTAGGTGATTAGGAAACCCATGTCAAGGGTTCCTAGCTAGAGGGTCAGGAGCATCTGGGGCAATGTGTCTGAAAAGTCGGGCCCAGAGAAGGGCAGTAAGCAGCAGTGGTCACAGGCCAGATGCTGCCTTTTTTGCCGTGTGCTGGGACACTAGACCAAGAGACACTGGGCCCCTGACTCATTGCCAGCAAAACCAAAAGCTGCAACCATCCAGCCCACTCAGAGGAAATAGTCAAATTCTGCTCAAGGATCCTAGGATAGGGCTGATTTGTACTCTGGGATGGGACCTGGCTAAGATCTAAGCCAGCTCCCTGGCATGTAGCACGTGACTTTCAGCAGGAGCCACGCAGCTAAGAAGTTGATAAAAGTGCTTGTTCTTCTCAGAAACCCTGACTCCGATCCTGGTGCTTCCAGTTACTGGCTCTGTGGTCCTGGGCCATTCACTTTTCTGAGTCTCAATGTTTTTCCTCTGTGAAATAAATGCTAGGCCTACTGACAAGTTAAAGAGCTGACACAGTTGAAGCACTTCATGCTAATCCAGTCCTTGGGCAGTGGGAGAAGCCCTCAATCTTCTGGAGGCTACAGGCCAGCATCTCCCTACCCTCTGCCCCTGAACTAAGCTGTGGGTCCACCTGGAGGTATTGCTTAACCCTCTCCCTGCTTCCCTAACCCCAGCTGGGTGTGAATAGTTCTGAAGAGTCCCTGGGGTGTGGGGGCCCTGCCATGGGAACCAGCAGGTCCCTTCCAGGCAGCTGTTCCAGCCTGTGAAGGGGGTAGCCATCTGTACTCCAGAGAGGATTCTCCTGCAACCTGTGCCCTGGTACCAAGAGTCTGAGGCCAGAGCTGGTGTGCCACCCAGAGGGGGCTTTTTCTCCTTCACCCAGCCACAACTGAGATTCCACCAAAAGTGCTTCTGGCTGCCTCCATTGCAAGGTTTTCACGGGGTTCCTGACTTTCCAAGGGAAGAGTTATGGCCAAGCATCCTGGGGAGCAGGGAGTAGAGGCTGGAGCTCCAGAGGAGCCAGGTCTGAGGGCAGCTGCACCCGCTGTTACAGATTTGGGTGCTACAGGCCATGTTGGATAGCAAACATGTCCTTTGCAATATTTCTTAAAACTGTGAACTAACTCTATTTGATAAAGTTCAGAGGGTGTGTGTATGTGGTGCTGGTATTGAACCCAGGGCCTCGTACATGCTGGGCAAGTGCTTTACCACTAAACAACATCCCAGCCTCCCACCCTTTTAAAAAAATTTTGAGGCAGGATCTCATTAATTTTCCCAGGCTGATCTTGAACTTGCAATCCTCCTGCCTCAGCCTCCCAAGGAGCTGGTATTACTGGAGTGTGGAAACAAGCTTTACATATTTTTTTAAATCTATTTTCTTGCACAATTGGCAGCTTTAATAAGGCTGTGCCCAGATCTCCACATGACAGCTCTAGGCCAGAGGGGTTAGATGTGACCCTCCATATTCAAAGCCAACCCACTTATCTTCTAC